CACTCTGATGAATCCATTAGGCAGGTGAGTTACAGAAGAGCAATGTGGGAAATCTCTTTTTTTTTGGTCGGTCCTGGGTATTGAACTCTGGGCCTGGACGTTGTCCCTGAGCTCTTCACCTCAAGGCTAGCACTCTACCACTTGAGCCAGAGCGCCACTTCCAGTTTTCTGAGTGATTTCCTGGAGATAAAAGTTTCTTGGACGTTCCTGCCTGGGCTGGCTTTGAACCATGATCCTCAGATCTCAGCCTCTTGAATAGCTAGGATTACAGGTTTGAGCCACCAGCACCCGGCTGGGGAATCTCTTTTTTTAGGATTAATTGTTAATTGAATTCTTAGCTTCAGGGTGAATGGTCCAGCTTAGCAATATGGTATTTTCAAGTTCTGTCTAGTGCTCAAAGGGATGTTAGGTAGATACTCTGGTAGAGAGTAAACGTTAGTAAGAAAGCCTATAATGACTTTGGCTCTCTGTGTGTGTGTGTGTGTGTGTGTGTGTGTGTGTGTGTGTGTGTCCAGGTCATAGGGCCTCAGCACTATTCCTGAGCTTTTTTTGCTCAAGGTTAGTATTCTACCACTTGAGTCACAGCTCCACTTCCAACTTTTGTTTTGTCTTTTTTTTTATGGTTAATTGGAGATAAGAGTGTTTGGACTTTCTAGCCCCCTTGACTTCAACTCCCAGATCTCAGCCTCCTGAATAGCTAGGATTACAGACAAGAGCCCCCTGCACCTCTGTGGTAACATTACATCTTTCCCCATTCATAATGCTCTGTTCAACCAAGGTCAAATAATTTGAACACAGGCTTTTCAGTCTTCAAAGAACTTGAGCTTACAGATAAGAACATGCAGAGAGAACCAAAAGAGGCAGAATAAGAGGATAATCAAAGCCAAATTTGGTAGATCATTCCTGTAATCCCCCCAGGTTTGGAGACTGAGGCAGGAGGATTACAAATTTCAGACCATTCTGTGCTACATAGCAAAACCTTATCTCAAAACAGCAATAATAACATCTAGTCAGTCCTATCTAGCCACTGGTATTTAATAATAATAGTATTAAATTTAATAGTAAGAGCTAATAGTATTTACATGGTATTAGGTAATATATAATCAAGAAATGATTTAAAGTTTGTGCAATATGTGCATAGTGTGTTTCAAAAACTGTGCCATTGGGGCTGGGAAGGTGGCTCAGTGGTAGAGTGTTTGCCTTGCATGCCTGAGGCCCTGGGTTCGATTCCTCAGCACCACATAAGCAAAAAGAAAAAAAGCCGGAAGTGGCGCTGTGGCTCAAGTGGTACAGTGCTAGCCTTGAGCTGAAGAGCTGAAGGACAGCGCCCAGGCCCAGAGTTCAGGCCCCACGACCACACCCCCCCCAAAAAAAACTGTGCCATTTCTTCTTTTGGGGATACTGGGTATAAAGTATTCTTAGATGAGAGACTTTGGTATCCCCTAGGGATCCTGGACCTCTGTGTTAATGGAGGCATGGCTGTCCCCTCCATCATTTGCTTGTATCTTTATTGCTCCATGTCCTTCTTTTTGCATGCAGAAATTTTAAATGCCGACCTGCTTTAGTTACCACTTCTCTCGTATCATGCACAGCCCTTTTCTGAGGATACTGTAGCTTAGAATCATGGCCTAGGTTTGCTGTTCCTAAGTGGATAGAGTAGCCAGCTCTGCCTTGGGCCTCAACCAGCAGGGGCAGGTGTCAGAACAAGACCACCCCCCCCAGGAATGTGATGCCAGATCTCAGATAGCCTTCTGGACCTCTTTGCTCAGGGTGTTGGAGTCTATCCTAAAGGCATCCTCTCTGTGGTATCTTAAGGTGTAGAGCATCAAGGTCAGATTTGCATTTTAGAAGAGTTATGCTGGCAGCTGTGTAAAGATGGCTTAGGGAAGGGAACAGTGATTTCTCAAAGCCCAATTTGGAAGCCAGCATGATGGTCCAGGAGAGAAGGGTAAGGACTGTAAGGCTGTAGTGATGGGATGGGTGGACGCTGGGCACTTCTTGGGGCAGGGAAAGTCATGCTGGGGGAAGAACATAAAGGGGTCAGCCACTCCATGGCTTTGGGATGAAGACATGGTGGCACCTTGGGTCCAAATAGCAAGTCTTGGAGAAAGGAGCTTTTAGCATGGAAAGCTTGAATATTGTCGAGACATTGGGGAAAAATAGCCACCAAGCAATTTACAACTTTGAGGTATGGAGAAAGTGGACCTGGAGATTGGATGTTTCGAGCAGGTGGTGTGAGTGTGAATGAGATGATGTAATCTGTCCGCAGCACTGAGCTCCATGGATCTGGGCTCACCCCTCCATGGGGATAAAAGAGCTGCAGAGATACTCTAAGTGATCACTGTCAGGGAAATAGAGACATTGAACAGGTAACAAACAAGAACTGTAACTTTGGTGGGAGGTCAAGAGGGGAGGGAGGGCAGAAAGATGGAGCAGGGGAAGTGGGGTGAATGCAGTTGTTATGTTCAAGGTAAATATGTGAATATGGAACCAAGTCACTTGAGGGGACGGGTAGAGTTGGAAAAAATGGGGTGATGTTGGTCAAGATGCATCATACTCATAAACTGACATGGTGAATTGAAACCCCTTTGTACAAGGGGTTGGTCTTTTTTTTTATTTTAACTGTATCTGCAGTTGTTACCAAATGCTGTCACTGATAGGATGGGTAATCTTTTTGTGGAGAACTAGAGGAATGGCTAGGTACAGTGACATACAGCTGTCATCTTAGAACGCTGAGATAAAAAGATGGTCATGAGTTTAAGGCCAGCTGGGGAAACATAGTGAGATTTTGTCTCAAAAACCAAAAGAATGATAGAACCAGTCACCAAAAACAAAGCAACTTTACACTTACACACAATTGTTATGTGACACATGTCTTTCACCATAGGAAGAAACCTAACAGTTCTAAGAATAAAAGAAAACCAATATTAGGAGAGCCTTTAAGATTAGATCAGCTCTTAGGAGGGACTAAATAAGTAGAAGAGGTAAAAGGATGGTGGTTTATGCTGTAATCCCAACTGCTCAGAGGGCTGAGATCTGAAGATCAAAGTTCAAAGCCAGCCCAGGCAGAAAAGTCCCTGGGACTCTTATCTCCAATTGGACCAGCCAAAAAGCTGGAAATGGAGCTATGGCTTAAGTGGTGGAGCATCAGCCTCTAACAACAAAGCTAAGGGAAAGCACTGGAGCCCTGAGTTCAAGCCACAGTACTGGCACAAGCACAACAGCAAAGGTAGAACATTAGAGATGTGGGGCAAGGCAAGTTGAGAAGTTCTTAATTTGATAGGGAAGACAGATGTGGGAACATGAGGACATTGTTCTGTTTTCTCTAGGTAAATGTATCCTTTAGGTTGTACATACAACTATTTGAGTCACAGGTGCTCAATGAATGCCTGTGTGCCAGGCAAGGGAATCATGGCTCTGTGCAGGACAGAGATGGCTCCAGAGACAACATAAATGAATGATCCACAGAGTGCAGGAGATGTTGAAGATAGGTGGGGGTGACCCTCCTCACTTAAGGGGTCACCAGCCAGGGCTTCTAGGCCTATTTCCAGGTGATTCACGAAGTCAAGTGAAGCCAGAGGTGATCTTCAGAAAGCTGAGTTCACTGGTTAAAGTATTAAGTGAGTAGTCTTACAGCAAGCAGTTGTAAGTTCCCAGAGGAGGGAGCCAAAGAAGAGAGGAGGTTTGCTGGGGATGGCATAGTTATTATGTCATTCATAACTACAGTCCTTGCAAGGGGAATGGGATCGCACCATCAATGCCTGAAGCCACCCCTGCTCCCCACAAAGCCCCACACACAGGAAGGACCCAAGACCTGCTGAAGGTCACATGCTCATTTTGCCATGAGGTCCTTCCTCAGAGCAAACTGCTAAAATAGAATGAAGGAAGGGTGACCCAGACAAACTGGATCACACAGCAGCAAGCATGGTAAAATGGAGAGATGCTAGCTCCTGCTTGCTCCTCCTTACTTCCCCAGAATTAGAGAACCAGAGCAATCCATGGGAACAGACAACTATAGGAACCCTAGGGAACCATGACCCAGGAAATGCAGTGAGGAGGAAAACCTCTGGTCTCTGCCCACAACAAGTGCAAGTTCTGGGGCTGGGAAGGTGGCTCAGTGGTAGAGCACTTGCCTTGCATGCATGAGGCCCTGGGTTCGATTCCCCAGCACCACATAGGCATAAAGAAAAAAAGCCAGAAGTGGCGCTGTGGCTCAAGTGGTAGAGCGCTAGTCTTGAGCTGAAGAGCTGAGGGACAGCGCCCAGGCCCAGAGTTCAGGCCCCACGACCGGACCCCCACCCCCATCCCCAAAAAAGTGCAAGTTCTCTTTTTCTAAAGCCCTGGTTTATTTTGTTCATTTGATTTTTCTTTTGTGCTGGTACTTGGGCATGAACTCAAAGCCATGTACTCTCTTGGCTTTTTCACTCAAGGATGGCACTCTACTATTTGTGCCACGCCTCTACTTCTGGCTTTTTGCTGGTTAATTGGAGATAAGAGTCTCATGAACTTTCCTGCCCAGGTGGGCCTCAACTTATGATCCTCAGATCTCAGCCTCCTGAGTAGCTAGGATTACAGATATGAGCCACCAATGTCTGGTCAAAGTCCTGTTGATGGATGGTTATGTTCTGACAAGCAGTTGGTAGTTTAGATGATTAGCTCTGGAATGTGGGTTTATAAGAGAAAACAGAATTTGAACGTCTGAGCAGAGCTAATTAAAGGCAGATTGAAGCTTGCTTGGATCTGAGGATGATGAGATAGTGCCTGTGCACTCTGTTGACATCTTCACTAGGTGGGCAGCCTGTGATCTGACTGGCCCAGGGTCCAACCCCCAGTGTTTCATGATCAAATATCTGGAGATTTGGACACCAGGCCTTGGGGTCTGTCTCATAGAGCCCAGCCAGTTTCAGGAGCTACTGAGTTACTGAACTATCTTTAAAGTATGCTTTTACTGGCAATTCCAGGGTGCCTAATTCTTTTTTTCTCTTTTTCCTTTTATCCAGGCACTGGGAAACCATGAATTTGATAATGGTGTAGAAGGGCTGATCGATCCACTCCTCAAAAAGGCCAACTTCCCGATTCTGAGTGCAAATATTAAGGCAAAGGGGTCACTAGCATCTCAAATATCTGGACTATATTTGCCATACAAGATTCTTTATCTTGGTGGAGAAGCTGTGGGAATTGTAGGATATACCTCAAATGAAACTCCTTCTCTCTCTAATCCAGGTATATTTTGCTTTTTATAGCATTCATGACTTGAAAATAAATTCATTAGGTCAGGGTTTGGCATTATTTTTATGGTCTTAGGTAAAAGAGACAGCTAGGGAAATGGTGTACGTAGCACGACACTGATAAAAACCAATCTGATAGATTCTGTGCTGTTCTAACTTACTACTTAAAGACTTTACCTCTATGCTCAGTGAATTTCTTTGTTGACATAAACAGTATGTTTTAATTCAGTGCATTCAAACTAGAGGTGTAGCCCATTTCAGTCTGTTCCTGTACATATCAGCCCCTAACTTAGTCCAATTGTTCCAGTCTTTATGGTCTGTATAACACGTACTTCCAGCATTTAATTCATTACAGCTAGGTAATAAAATTCTTGAATATAGCACACTTGCTTGTTTGTTTCCACTCAAGGCTGGTGTTCTACCAGTTGAGCCATCCATGCATTTTCACCACTTCCTGTTGGTAAATTGAAGATGCTTTTCAGATTTGTCTGCCCAGGCTGGCTTTGAACTAGGATCCCCAGATCTCAGCCTTTTGAGTAGCTAGAATTAGACGTGCGATCTGGGTGTGAGTCCCAGGCTCATCTCATCTTTCCAACCCGTGGGTTTTTCTGATATATTAGGAGAATACACTCCTTTGTCCTTAATTTCTCTGAAATTTTGTCTTCTTTCTCACCTGACTAAGAGGAGAGTCTCCTCTTCACTCATTTGTTCCCCTGAAAGCCTGCCTATAGGCTAGGCACTGTGTGTTTTTAACAGCCTTGCTGCTTTTTGGAAAGAGAATTTTCAAACCGGAATTTGTAGGCTCTTGCATTTTAAAAGTGATCTATAAGGGTTTTGTATGTTTGGGTGGGTGGTTGGTTTGCTTGCTTGTTTTTGTCATTTTCATCTTTTGTGCGGGTTCTCAGAAATTAGCCCAAGGGAGTTAAGGTGAAAGAGGACTGTTTGCTCTGTGGCAGAGGCTGTGTGGCTTCCAAGTGGCGTTTCTATCACTTTCCTGACCGTTGAAGCTATAATATTTGTTAAGCCCATCATCCAAGGTCTGCTTGCTGACAGTCTTATTTTTGTTCTTGTTTTGTGTGCTGGTCCTAGGGCTTCAACTCAAGACCTCACACTCTTGCTGGGCTTTTTTCACTCAAGGCTGATACTCTACCATTTAAGCCACAGTTCCACTCCCTGCTTGCTGGAAATATTAGGTTGGAAGAATGATTGTCCCAAGTGTCCAAACAAAGCTTTGAAGTTGGTAGTGCTGTTTGCACATCATGCATATAAGCTGAGGCTTTTTCTGCAGGAGTATTATGGAAGTCTAAATATAAAAAGAGACAAAAACAAGCCATGTCTGAAGTCTTATAGTTTGGAATTGAGTCGAAGCAAAATGTTAACTGCAATCTAACCAGGCACTGGTGCCTGTAATCTTAGCTACTGAGGAGGCTGAGAGTTGCAGATCATGATTGAAGCCAGCCCAGGCAAACAAACACAAGAGACTTTTTTTTTGCCAATCCTGGGGTTTGAACTCAGGGCCTGGGCATTATCCCTGAGCTTCTTTTGTTCAAGGCTAGAACTCTACCACTTGAGCCACAGTGCCACTTCCAGCTTTTTCTGATTATGTGATACTGAAGAATCAAACCCAGGGTTTCATGCATGCTAGGGAAGCATTGTACCACTAAGCTACATTCCCAGCCCTTCCAAGAGACTCTTATCCTCCAGCTAACCAGCACAAAGCAGGAAGTTGAGTGTGACTCAGTGGTAGAGCACCAGCTTTGAATGAAAAAAGCAAAGCAAGAGTAAGAAGCCCTGAGTTCTAGCCAGGAAAGAAGGAAGGAAGGAAGACAAGGAGGGAAGGAAGGAAGGAAGACAAGGAGGGAAGGAAGGAAGGAAGGAAGGAAGGAAAGAAAGAAGGAAGGAAAGAAGGAAGGAAGGAAGGAAAGAAAGAAGGAAGGAAGTTACCTACAGTCTTCAACTAATTCAATATTAAGTAAATGATTTAAATTCTTTTTGACTTTGTAAGGATTTTGTATTGTGATGTATTTTTGATGTATTTGAAGAGCTCTAATAAGGTGTTTATTATGCTGATAAGTGATATAACAAAATTAATGCTCCTGTCATTTTACTTATTTTGTACCTTAGGCCCAAGCTTGGTGTTTGAAGATGAAATCACTGCATTGCAACCTGAAGTAGATAAGCTAAAAACTCTAAATGTGAATAAAATTATCGCACTGGGACATTCTGGTTTTGAAATGGATAAACTCATCGCGCAGAAAGTGAAAGGCGTGGACATCGTGGTGGGAGGACACTCCAACACATTTCTTTACACAGGTAATTGCTTCCAGACAATGACACCAGCCCGGATGTGCACAGAGGTTACATGGTCTCTCCTGCTGTAATTGCCAGTGCTACCAAATGTTACAGTTTGTATCTATGTCATTCATACTGAATGGGAATGACTGTAATCTTACGTAGAGACATTACTAAGAACTTATTGATTTTAATCTTATAAGACGGTTCCACTTATATCTGGAATACATATACAAAATGAAAAAGATTACTAAGCCCTAATCAAGTTTGTTCATGACAGGTTCATATTGAAAAGCAGCATGTCATATTAAAAAAGAACTTTAAACATAAAATAATGTGAATAGGGTTATCAAAGTTCAAGATAATAGGACCTTTTGGTTGTATTTTCTGCCAGTACTGGGGCTGGTACTCAGGGCCTTTTCTAGCCTTTTCCATTCATGGTACTATGGTGCTCTACCACTGGAGTCACAACTCCGCTTCCTGGTTTTTGATAGTTGGAAATAAAAGTGTCACCAACTTTCTTGCCTAGGCTGGCTTTAAACTTGGATCCTCATATCTCAGCCTCCTGAGGAGCTGGGATTACAGACATGAGCCTCTGTCACCCAACTTAAGGTGACAGGATTTGATCTGTAGCTTACACACATAGTAGAAGCTGGAATTACTTAGCTTTAGAAGAATTTCTTAGACTTAGAAGACTATTTGTGGGTTTTTTGTTTGTTTGTTGTTATTGTCATTGTTGTTTTGCCAGTTATGGGGCTTGAACTCAGGGTCTGGGCAGTGTCTCTGAGCTTCTTTTACTCAAGGCTAGAGCTCTACCACTAGAGCCACAAAACCAATTCTGGCTTCTTCTGAGTATTTATTAGAAATAAGAGTCTCAGGGACTTTTCTGCCCAGGCTGGCGTCAAACCATACTCCTCAGATCTCAGCCTCCTGAGTAGCTAGAATTACAAGCATGAGCCACCAGATGGCATGTTTTTATAAAACAAAGTTACGCTAAGTAATAGGGAATATCCAGAAATGTTAAAAAGCAATCTTCACTAAGAAAGTGATTTTTTTTTTTTTTGTCCCAGGGCTTGAACTCTGGGCCTGGGTGCTATCCCTCAGCTCAAGGCAAGCATTCTACCACTTGAGCCACAGCGCCACTTCCAGTTTTCTGAGTGGTTTTATTGGAGATAAGAGTCTCAGGGAGTTTCCTTCCTGGGCTGGCTTTGAACCGCGATCCTCAGATCTCAGCCTCCTGAGTAACTAGGATTACAGGCATGAGCCACCAATGTCAGCTCAGAAAATAATTTTTTTATTTTCTTCATAGCACTTTTTTTTTGCCAGTCCTGGGGCTTGAACTCAGGGCCTGGACACTGTCTCTGAACTTCTTTTTTGCTCAAGACTAGTACTCTACACTTGAGCCACAGTGCCACCTCTGGCTTTTTCTGTTTATGTGGCACTGAGGAATTGAACCCACTGCTTCATGCATGCTAGCAAACACTCTACCACTAAGCCACATTCTCAGCCCTCATAGTACTTTTTAAAAAATTAATTTACTTTATTGTTATTATAGCGGTGATATACAGGGGGATTACAATTACATGGTCAGGTAAAGAGTGCATTTCCTTTCGTACAGTGTCTTCTGTTCCTTCATTCTCTCCCAGTCCTTCCATCCTATCTCCACACATAAGTGATATAGACTTTCATCAGTGTCCAATGAGCTCCACTGCTACACTTTTGCACCCTTTTTCCCTTGAGTTCTGTGCTCCCTGCCCCCCGACCCTCCTGAAGATATACACATGTGAATACACCATACATAAGGTAAAGAAGATAGAATCATCAAAAACTAAAAAAGAAAGAAAGAGGTCTCTTGTTTCCATATTTTGGAGTTTGCTTCAGTATGTGTATTATTTTATATAAATATGAAGAGGCACTGAGGCTTTGCACCTTCGTGTTTCTCTCATGATTATCCTCTTTTGGTCTTACTGTGTTGAGAATCTAAAATCCTGTATAATTTATCATATTCCAAGTGTATTTTAGATCTAATTTCCACGTGCCAGAGAGAACACTCACCATTTATTTCTCTGAGCTTGGCTTACCTCACTTAACATGATTTGTTGTAGGTCCATCCATTTCCTTGCAAATGACATTATTTTATTCCTTCTAATGACTGTGTGAAATTCCACTGTGTATAGGTAGCACATTTTTGGGATCCACTCATCTATTGTGGGGCATCTGGGTTGTTTCCTTATCCTTTGTGAATAGTGCAGCAGTGAATGTGGATGTTAAGGTGTCTTCATCATATCCTGGTTCATGAAGTTCAGGGTAGATGCCATGGAGTTATATGTCTGGGTAGATGGGAAGGTTTATGTTTCCTGTCATCCAGATAGCTATCCAGAGTGGTTGTACTAGTTTACATTTCCACTCACAGTGCAGTAAGTTTCCTTTTTCCCCCCACCCCCCACCAGCTTTTGTTGTTGTTTGAATTAGCAATGTTGACAATCTGCCTGGGGTGAGAAGAATGTTGTTGTTCAGATTTGCATTTACTTTATGGCCAGGGATGATGAGCATTTTCTCACACGTTTCTTTGTCATTCTCACCTCTTCATCTGAGAAGTTTCTCCTTAACTCCCTTGCCCATTTAGTGATTGGTTTGTTAGGTTTGGGAGGGGTTAGTTTTCTGAGTTCCTTGTATATATTGCCTATTAGGCCTTAGTCTGGTATATTGCTGGTATTAGCTGTCTTTCTAGTTTAATAACTATGTCCTTAGCTATGTAGAAACTTTTTATTTTGATGTAGTCATATTTGTCAAGTCACTTTCCTATCTGTTGTGTATCTGGGACTCTTTACAACAAGTTTCTACCTATATGTGTATGTTCTCATGTTTCTCCTACTCTCTCTTGCAGTAGTTTTGGATCTGACTTTGATCCATTTTGAATTGATATTAGTGCATAGTGACAACCAGAGATCCACTTTTCATTTTCTGCATCTTCATAGCACTTTTGAGCTTTTATCTTTACAATTGGAAAACGGGATACAACTTATAAAAAGAAAAGAAAATGCCCCTCAGTAGATGAATGGATCAAGAAAATGTGGAATATTTATATAATGGAACTCTATGCCTCCAGGAAGAATGACATTGCCCCATTTGTTCGAAAATGGAAAGAATTGGAAAAATTATATTAAGTGAAGTAAGCCAAGCCCCAAAAAACATAGGTCCTAGGTTTCCCTTATTTGCAATAACTAGTATATGTCTAGGACAAGCAGAAAAGGTCAATAGCTATATACATATGACCAGATAAGATATTTAGTGAAGTGAATCCCAAGATAGGGACACAAATGGTTTTTTCTTTCTTGCTATTGTTTTTAACATATTTAAAATGCACTATGTGATTTTTTTTGTTTTTCTTGTATGTTCTTCCCCCATGGTATAACTCCTGTTTTCACTGTATTTGATGTCAGTGTCCTGCATCTTGTATATACATTTTTGTAATTTGGGGAGGGGAAGGGAAATAACAAAATGCTAAAATAAGGTTGACCCATTGTAACAATGAGATATACAAGACACTATGTTGAAAACGAACTTTACAACTTGCGGAGGCATGGGGGAAAGAGAGGGAAGAGTTGGGGAGGTGGGAGGGAAGGGATGGTAGGGTAAAAGCAAAGGAGGAGGCAACAATGCTGGATAGGAAATGTACTCATTACCTTACTCATGTAACTGTAACCCCTCTGTATAATATTTTTACAATTAGAAAACATACAAAAAAAAGAGGAAAAAGAAAAAAAAGAGGCTGGAAGTAGGCTTCAAATGCTAGAGTGCTGACCTACCAAGCACAAAGCCCTGAGTTCAAAACTCCATTGTCCTCCCAAAAGAAAGAAAGAGAAAATGGAAATAAAAAAAGGGAAAGGCAACATTGAGTCAGAAGTTGTCATTCTCCATTCACTTGAATGATCTTGAGTGGGTCGCTTAACCTTTCTAAACCTGTTAGCTTAGCTCCAAAACAGGGATGCTCTCTTTCAAAGTATGGCATTGTGAAAGTTAGTGAGATGGTGGCTGTGAGAACCCTATGTAAATTGCAAATAGCTACATCCTGCTCTATGTACATTGCTCAGTGGTAAAAAAAATGTTGCTCAACGTTGTGACTCACAAAGCTGTTCTTTCACCCAAGAAAATAATGCCAGTATTAATGTGTACTAATCAAATTCTCTCACAGGTATTTTAGCCATGGGTGGTTACAAGTTAAAGAATGATTTCAAACTTAGGTTAAACTCATTAGTGATTGTAAAATGAATCTGGTAGGCACTAACCAGTAGACTTTTTAAATTTTTTAACAGAGTAGACTAAAATAGATTAGGCATTCATCTTGCTTCATCTTGAGAATAAATATCATTTCATAGGGGGGGAAAAAGATGTATATAAGATGGTGAGAATGGCCCTGGCACATACAACCAACAAATGAATGTAATGAGGAAGAGGAAGATACATGATGAGTTGAATTTATTATTGTTGGTCATGGTGTAATCCAACATCTGAGAGCCTTATAGCAACTCTGAGAGCATTAAATTCACAGAGAGAGCCAAAATCAGGACAATCAGCAGTCAGCACCAGCACAAGTAAAGCTATGTGGTCCTTCTGACCCTACCACGAGTCAATAGTGGAATCATTTGTGTGCTTGAGTCCCCTTTCTGTAGAATAAGGGCAATAACACAAATATTTATTCTCTCCTGAGCCGCTCCTACCGACAAACAGCAGGTGCACACAGTCATGCCTCAACCTGAGGGGTAGAGCCGAGGTGACATGGAGGTTTCATGACATCAAATAACCTGCTCATAGTCCATAGGTGCAGCGTGGTAGGGAGGAGACTGTATCCAGACTGTCTGAACCATAGGTCATCCTCTTGGCTAAGTGCTGTACCACTGGCCTATCAAATCTGGTTCTCAGAGGATCCAGTCATTCTTTTTGACACACCACACAGTCTTTCCCTTCCCTGACACCTAGATTACTGTCCAACAGTCTCTCTTCTCTGCCATCTTCTCTCT